AGGCCAGGGAAAGGAGACCACTGGAATCTACTAGGGGCAAACAAAAAACAACCGTATCAGGGAACAGCAGTATCTCTTTTCAGTTGAGGAGTCCAATATGGGTGATTTTCCAGCTGGACCGAATATGACAAAAAGAGGAAAACCTCAGGATCGTTGGGGAGGATGGGAAATACAGAGAGGAGAGATTGAGACTAAGACAGCAGAGAATATAATGTTATGATCTTTGCTTGAAAAGTCTGCCTCCTATAGATGTGAGTGATTCTGCGCTCTTCCTAAGAGAGAAGTAAACAATTATGATACAAACTAGTGTTTTAAGAGTTTGTATAAAAGTGCTTCCTTTATCAATTAAGTTATATAAAAAGTTCCAAAGACTCCCTATTATTCCAAACCTTTTAAATTTTTTTCTGTCTGTGTCTTTACATACATAGCTCCTATGTCTAATCTTATATCTTATTCCCCAGCCAAAATGTTTATTTTCATATGAGATTTCAAATAGTTTTTCTGTTGTACCAGTCCAATTCTCTTTTCATCAAGACAAAATTAAACATCTATCTTCCTCACAAAGGCATTCTTGACTAAATCCAGCCCAGAGGTCTTTCTCTTGAGTTTAGATATGTATAACTCTTAATTTATCCTTCTAGGGACTTGTGTTCTGAAATCTGAGGATTCAATGTTTGTCATTAATTCTGGAAAATTCTAGGTCATTATTGCTTCAGATCTCACCACTGCCCCACTTTCTCCATTCCTCATTCTAGAATTCCACTTAGTGTGTTAGTCGTTTTCATCCTGTTTTTCCCGTCTCTTAGCCTCTCTTTCACTTTTTTCATCTCTTTGTTGCCTTGTGTTGCATTTGGGCAACTTCTTTAGCTCTATCCTCCATCCACTAACTCTTTTGTTATTTAACCCATCCACTTAGTTTCCAATTAAAAATATATTTCTGATTTTTGTTAAGTTTTATTTCTTTTTAATTTTTTTTAATGTTTTATTTTTTTTTTTTTGAGAGAGACAGCGTGAGCAGGGGAGGGTCAGAGAGAGGGAGACACAGAATTTGAAGCAGGCTCCAGCCCGACGTGGGTCTCGAACCCACGAACCGTGAGATCATGACCTGAGCCAAAGTCAGATGCTCAACCAACTGAGCCACCCAGTTGCCCCTGTTAAGTTTTATTTCACTCTCTTCAACAACTGAGGACTAACGGTCCCCCAATTGTTTTGAAGATAATCTCAGATGTCTACTATTTGTTTTTTTAAAAATTCTGCTTGGTCTTTTTTTGTCACTCACTCTATGCTCACATTTTCAAATTCCTCTATTATTTAAATATTTTAAACATTTATTTTATATTCTATAATGAATAATCCCATTATCTATTGCAGCTTACTCATGGTGGTTGTATCCTCATGTATTTTTAAATTCTTGATGCATGCTCATGCTGGAAGAATTCTTCCCTAAGCTTCTGAAACACAATTTAATAGTCTTTAATTCTGTCTCCAACTGTGTTTTTTAAACCTACTAGAGCATAGAGTCCTTTATGGAAAGAATGCTTCTTGCTGTTTTGTATTTCTCACTGTGCTAAATGTAGGCCTTTGCACATTACTTTAAAGATTGGAGAGGTAGAAAAAGGCTAAAATGTCTATAGTGTGCTACAGAACAGTAACACGTAAGCCATAAGGAAGTAAGTCAGACTCAGTTATGTGTGGGAGGGTGGGAGCAGGTAAGAAAGAAGATATTTTGAAATTATATATGACCCTCCTCCCCTCAGATTCTAATTGTGTCATTTTGGGACTCTATTAGGGGATCACTGTTCCAACCAGAGTGTGTCACCTGCATAAGCTGAAGTAGGGGAAAAAAAAAAAAGGAAATTATAAAAAAAAACAAAACAAAAAACCTTCTTAGTTTTAAAAATATTTCTTGTATAAGTTATTTTCAGTCATTCTGTTGTATATTTAATGAATGTCTATACTAAGTACTGTTATGGGAATACAAAGAGAAGTAACATATGGTCCTGTTCTCAAATAGATCATAGTTTTATTGGGGAGATGGAAATGTAAATCAATACTGGCAAAAGAGAGGCATATACAATAGGCATAATGACACAAAAGGGATAACTGACCAATTTTTCCTAAGGGGAAGGTAGTAGGAAGATCAGAAAAGATAAGAATTGCTCAAATTAGGTTTTTGGATATAAATTATAAGAATAAAGGAGAGAACACAGGAGTCAAAGGGGAAAGAATGTACAAAGTTAAACATGCATATAGTATATTGTAGGGATAGGAAATATTTTCATCTAATTAAAGCTTAGAACAGAAGTACGAATGCTTTGGGAAATAAAGAGGAGAAGATGGGCAGAGACAGGTCATGAAGGGCTTTGTATGACTTGCAAAAGCATTTGGTCTTTAACCTGTAAATTATAAGCTTCTATGAAAGGATTTAAAAATATAGAGGAGTAGAGGTCAGATCAGATCAGGCAATACAGTAATTAAAAACAAGGCCTCTAAAACCAAGATGGCCCAGTGCTATATACTTAATGAATTTCTGTAGAAAAAAATAGGTTAAAATCTTAGCTCTACACCACTTACTAGTTTTGTGACCTTGGGCAAGTTATTAGCCTTTTTGAGCCTCATTTTGCTCATCTGCAAAATATGTATATTAATAGTATCAACTGCCTAGCATTGTGTGAAAATTAAGAGTTAACACAAGATCAGCACATAGTCAGTGGTCAGTAAATGTCAGTTTTTATTATTAATACTGTGATATGTGATTAAGAAAATCTATATTGGAAACAAAGAGAAAAGTTAGCCCACTATTAAAAAGAACATACTGGTTTTAGGTAAGACCTGGCTTTGATATTAGATTCTTGTGATGATTCCTGGAACCACTGCTTTCTAGCTGTTTGGCCAAGAAAAGCTATTTACCTTTTGGAACCTAGGTAATCCCCAAAACAGTGATAATGATTACACATGTAAGATTACTGTGAGGATTAAATGATACTATGTGTAATGTGTGTGGTTAAGAACCTAGTACAACAGAAGTTTCAGTGTGATGTATAATGAATGAGAGGATGAGGAAGAACAGATTGTGAGCACAAATTACTACTTCAAGAATCTCGTCTCTGAAAGAGTCCTGTCAACAAGAGCTATGAAGAAGCAAAACAATTTCTTTTTAATGGAAGAAATGTCAACATATGCAGTAAGGATCAGAGGTGAGAAGCAAGGAGGAGGTAAAAAATTACTGGCAACATTTGGAGTAACTGATGGAACAGGGTTTAGGAGATGACAAAGAATGGAAAGTGAAGGACAAATGGAATGTGTACAGGCTCTTACAGAGTAGAATGAGACCTCTTTCTCTGAAACCAAAGAGGAAGATACAGAAATATTTGCAGGTGATAAGAGGAAAGAAAGCTGCACCCTAATGATCTTAATCTTATCTATAAAATGGAAACAAAGGGGTCTGAGGTGGGATGGAAGACTTGAAGAGATAGGTGAAAGAAAAGCTCCTGATAAGGCTATGATAAAGATCTGATATGCAGGACAACTTTTACAAGCCCAGTTGAAGTCAGAAACTAAAATTTATAGCAATAGGTATGATTAATATTTCAGCAGCATTCAGTAGATTAGAGCTGAAAAGACTGATGGTAGGACTGATTTGCTGTTGGGGGTTTCCAAGACAGATCTAATATAAAGATAAGTTTGAAGGATCTTGATGTAGGAGCATCAGTAAGGGAACAGTTTAGGGTAACACTGGTTTTAGGGTACACAGAAAGGAAAATGAAATTTGTAAGGGGCTAATGGACCCTTCTTCACCCTCTTCATGAAGAATTAAGGAAATTACAATATTTGATCAAGTATCTAGTTCTGTGGTAATAAGAGACCAGAGGAATAACAATAATAATTTAAGCTATCATTTACTGCATAAGCATTATCTGCATAGTCATTAATCTAGGTGCTTTATGTAATTATTTCATTTAGGGAAATAAAAGATTTGGTGAAAGTCTGACATATCAAATTTAAGATTTCAGAATGATTCATTGCTAAAATGACAAGCAGTAAAGGTATGGTGTAGCTGAGGTATTCAAAGAAGTTTGAAATAATACCATGTTACATGGGTTGTTTACATATGGAGGGTTTTCTTTTTTTTTATTTTTTTTTAATGCCCCATAATGATGTTGAAGTGAAGAACCAAAGCTCTTAAGGAATACTGGAGTGTGTTTGGTGATTAAGATATGTCAGAGATGAAAAAAAAGAAAGAAAAGTAGATTATATACATAGTTCACGGTCTCAGAGGACTCACACAGCCTTAGAGGAGAGTATGATGTAACATTTAGTAGAATCTGAAAGTGGTAGAAAGGGTAAATACTTTTGTAGTGTCTTTTTTTTTTTTTTTTTTTACAAATTAATAGGTTCTATGCCCCAAATGGGGTTTGGACTCACAAACCTCAGATCAAGTCAACTGAGCCAGTTAGCATCCTTGTCCATTTTAAGAAAAAAACCAGTATCTCTGATTAGACAGTATGTTCAAAAAAATTTTTTTTTACTGTTTTATTTATTTCTAGGAGACAGAGAGAGAGAGACAGTGTGAGCAGGGGAGGGTCAGAGAGAGAGGGAGTCACAGACTGAAACAGGCTCCAGGCTCTGAGCTGGCAGTCAGCACAGAGTCCGATGCAGGGCTCGAACCCACGAACCGCGAGATCATGACTGAAGCGAAAGTCGGACGCTTAACCGACTAAGCCACCCAAGTGCCCCTGATTAGACAGTATGTTCAAAACAGCCGGCTTATACACAGAAGAAATTGCAGTGTCTTTGTATTCCTATTGTATGACTTGTTCCCCCAGGAGGACTGAGGGAATTCAGGGAAAATGGGAAATTACATGGTTATTGCATTTACAGTAAACATTTATAAGAATCTAATTTTATAAGAAAATATAAAACGGGTAATCTGATAAGAATGGAAAGCACATAGAACAGTCAGGAGACTTCATTAAGAATCCTGGATTATTGAGGCACCTGGTTGGCTCAGTTTGGTGAAGCATGTGAGTCTTGATCTCAATGTCATGAATTGGATTACTTAATAAAAAAAAATAATCCTGGATTATGAAAAGCAAAAAATCGACCCATAAATACAGAGAACAAACTGGTGGTTGCCACAGGGATTGGGGTGGGCTGAGGGGATGAGCAAAATGGGTGATGGGGAGTGGGAGATAATAGGCTTACAGTTATGGAATGAATAAGTCACAGAGATAAAAGGATAAAGAAGCAAAGGAAATATAATCAGTGGTATTATAACAGTGTTGTATGGTGACAAAGTAGCTAGACTTGTGATAAGCAGAACAATAACTTACAGATTTGTTGAGTTACTATGCTGTACACCTGAAAATAATGTAACACTGTGTCAACCATACTTCAGTAAAAATTAAAAAAAAAAAAAGAATCCTGGATTATACTCTAGGCTAGTTTTTTAATCCTTAGGCCATAATATCCTTAGTAATTTGTAAAATGAGGGGGCTGAAAATTACATCAGCAATTTTCAAAGCCTGTTTTTCTTAAGTGGCAAATTCCAAATGACATCTTACCCAGAACAAAAACAAAAACAAAAATGTCTCCGTGTTGCTTCCTAAGACATTCTACAGAGCCCTGACCTCCCAGGAACATAATTTGGGCTTTTTTAGATTATTGTAGGTCTAGATCACTTCCAGAGTATCTTACCACCCCCCCACAAAGATCTACAAATCTTTGTGTCATGAAAAGGATAGAAATAGTATAAATAACTTAGTTCCAGAATCCTGTAGAAAAGAAACTTGACATTTGAGGCAAAATGCTAGGCATGAACACGTCATACAGTTTAAAATAACATTTTCTATAAATATTTCAATAAACATTTTCCATAAATAAATATTCTATAAATATAAGGGATAAAGTAAAAGGGTAAAAAGCACATGCAAAAGTAAAATATACTATGTAAACACAAGTAGTTATCATGATAAGGAATGCAGTCTCTGCCAAAGAGAAGTTTATAATCAAATTAGGGAAAAGTTAACATGCCTATCAGGAGCCTAGAAGCTCTCTTTCAAAGGGGCACTGCTCCAAAGTGGGAAGAATATCTGAAGTCATGAAAAAACAATTTTTAGGTGACGATCACAACTGCAAGTAAAAAACAACTGATCAAAAGTTATCAGTTTTTATCGTTTTCTAAGCTTGTAGTCTGGGTAATTTTTAATTATTTTTTTTCTCTTTCAGGTTTTCATCATCTTCCATCCCATAGAGGAAAGAGCATCCATTTTGAAGGGCACTGAGGTATAGTATCAGCTTTGAAATTTATTAATATTTAACCACTCTGGTGCTCAGTTTCCTTAACTACAGCATGATGGTAACTTACTTTTGAGTTCTATTTTACTTTATATTTATGTAAGTAAGTATATATTTATTACTTTTAAGTTCTATTTTAAATATTAAACTCTGTAATGCAATAACCTGGTGACAAGAGAAATCTTCTGTTTTCCCTCTAACAAAAATTCTCTTAGGAGTTTCATTTTGATCATATCACTCATCAAAAATCTTATAATTACCTTACGTAGCCTCTGAAATGAAAGAAAAGACATTGAACCAATTAATTCCCTATTACCTACCATGCTCTTCTATTATACTTAAATTCATAGCCACCCACACATCAAAGCCTATGACTAAGGAAAAAACTAATGCCATTGAGTGGCTAAAATGAGCCAGGCAACACAAGGCATTTTATATACACTATCCCAGTTTTTCTTCCTAACTGTCCTGTAAAGACTACAGTTGACCCTTGAACAACACAAGGGTAAAGGAACCGATCCCTGAACAGTGAAAAATCCAAGTACAACTTTTGATTCCCCCAAAACATTACTAATATGCTACTGTTGACTGGAAACCTTACTGATAACATAAGCAGTCAACTAATCTGTACTTTGTATGTCATATGTTTAATATACTACATTCTTACAGTAAAGTAGGCTAGAGAAAACAATATCATTAAGAACATCACAAGAAAAATACATCCATATAATTTAGTGTAAAATAACTACATATTAAGTGGACCTGCACAGTTCAAACCTGTGTTGTTCAAAGGTCAACTGCATATTTTATTCCTATTTTAGGGAGGGTGAAACAAATGCCCAGTAGTAAGGTTATGTACTTTGTCTACTATCAAAAGCTAGTAAGTAGCAGATGGACAATGAACCCATTTTACCTGGCTTCATTGCAGCAAATATATTCACATTAAAAATGAATGGAAACTGAGAGAAACATTTTATGGTCATAACTATTTATATGTATTCACATGGTTTAAAAAGAAGATACAAATATAATTAGACATAAAAATTTTATCTATCTATACTAACAACCTCAACTGTTATTTCCCTCAGTAGTGGCTTGACTGAATTATATTGGTCTATTTAAACAGCTAATTTATAGCATGTAACAATGCTGAAAGAGAAAATATCAGAGTTGAAAAAAAATTTTAGAAGTATAACCTTTAAAAGAATTCCTTTAAAATCTCTTATCAATTGCTCATTCAACTTTATTGAGAGAGAACTTACTATTTTCTGTATCAGCTCATTTCATTTTTAAACATATTATCCTTTGTACTAAAATAAAATCTGCCATCCATTGACTTTTGCTTTGTCCTCTACAGCCATGAAATATACAGTCAACCCAAGGATGGAACTATAGCTTGCCACTTATGACTTCTCCAAGAATTTGGCAAACATTGCTATTTGATCAGTATAATCTTCTCTGAAAATCAAGACCCATCTAGTAAACTTAACAGTGAGCTCCACTAATTTTTTCCCACATGTTCCTCACTTTAACTTTAAAGAGAGTTATCAAATCTTTGTTAAATTTCTTCTTTAACAGACTTTTAAAACTCCCATTTTTCTTCAATTGTTCCACATGTAACAGGATTTTCATCATCTCACCGTTCTTGCAATTATTCACCGGATAAGCTTCTATGATGTTTATCTAAGGTATGATCCAGCTCAACTCAAAGTTTATTGTTTTTGTTTTTTTTCTCCCCCAACCCAAAGTTTTTTATTTCTTTTTGGGCAAACCTTCTTTCTCTTCCTACCCATGGGACACTGCTTAAGATTTGATTATTAGATTTTTGTTTTCTGTCTTTGTAAATGCTTTCCCACTTTGTGTTAGTTAACTCTTCTTTAGCTTCTATAGTGCATAGTACTTCTTTCAAAACATTTACCCTAGGTAAATCAAATGATGCCAACTCCCCTGTTAAAAGCCCTCCAACTGTTCCCAATTCTTAGTCTATGAAGACCCTAAACATCTGGCATCTACCTACATCTACTTTGCACTGATCTTCTGTCTCCCAATTTTTATTCTTACAACACATCAGTTTCTCTCCTATCTCAAGGACTTGTATACTTTGTCTCCTCTGCTGGGAACACTCTTCCTGGATCTTTAAAAGTCTGGCAAATTTTTACACATCAGGTCGCTCAGGTCAAATGTAGCATCCTCAAAGACACTCCCTAATTACTCTATCTAAAGTAGCTGCTACTCCCTCATTATACCACCCTACTTCCTTCCTTCCCTGTAGTTGTAGTTTTTAAAAGTCGTTTATTATTTATCTTCTCTCATTAGAATATAAGGTCCCTAAGTATATGGACTTTGGAGTTTTAATCAATCATTACTAGCATCTAGAATGGTGCTTGGCACAGAACAGAGAATCAGTGATTATTATGCTTAAGAGTTCTGTTACAGCAATAACTATACATTATCTCTGTAAATCTAGAACCTAGTAAAAATCCTGGTACATATGAAATGCTCAATGAAATGCTGAATAAATATTTGTGAAATGAATAGACTGATCACCCACATGGATGACATTCACTATGAGGTCTAATTAAGTGATCTTCAAATCTACTTATCCAGCCCTGACCTCTAGTTCTACATCTTTATTTAATTGCTAAGAGACTAGGTATCGAACCCATCCCCCCTCCAATATAGATTTTTTCTAATGATTGTGGCATCAGTTTCTTTACAAACTATAGACAAATCCCTTCCTTTGTACTCAAATCCAATTAGTTACTAAGTCATATTATTTTTCCCTTCATTTCCTACATATATCTTTTTCTATTCCTACTGCCAAGTTTTATTTCAAGCTCTCCTGATCTTACAGTTGTAGCACTGGAGTAGCCTCCTGCCAATCTGTTTGCCTTTAGTTCCTTCTCCCTCAAATCCATTCTTCATACAAATTCTAAGATAAACTTTTCTTTACGTGTCTCCCATCTCGTCTCCTATACCAACAAGTATAAACACCTTAACCCCAGAATTCTAGAACCTCAATATCATTTTAACTGAAATCATCAAAATAAAGGTATGTTTGGGAAATGAAGTGGCAGACTCTTAAACAGTTTCAGATGTAATGATAAAAAATCAGGTATGTACTAAAGACCAATGAAGTAGATATTCCTTGAGGAAACTTGAGAGACCTTGTTTATGTTGTTCATTGCTAATCTACTACCTGGAAATGCCAGGAATACAGTTAGGTATCAATGAATTATATTTGTTGATTAAGTAAATGAATACTTTCATAATAATTTTAATGAATAAATGAATGATCCTAAGTGAGAGAATGAATGCCAAGATGAAGGTAGTATTCTTTGAAAATCAGTCTGGTATTTACACACACGGAGATTAGTTAGTAAATTACTTTTTTTTTTTTTTACTTAATGTTTTGTAAGAACATTAATCAAGTTTTTACCACTTTCAATGATTTTTACATGGACTTAATTTTCACACATCTCAGTGAGGTAGGTAGTATTAACGCTAAGAAAACTGGTATACATAACGTTTAAGTATATACAACATTTTTTGAACCAAGAAAAGCAAAGATAAAGGTGTGATTAGGATGCTGGCTATAAGGAAAGAAAACATAGATTGGAAAAAAATTTTTTAAGTAGAGGCTAGAGTAGTAACTACCACCTCACATCATCATTAAGCACTGTAAATCTGCTTTCACTAATATATGTAATTAAAAAATGACATTGGTATCATCAGTCTGAATACTGATAAAAGTTTGATATCTTTCTTATTTTTTAGATAAAATTAGGATTAAGCTGCATTATTTTCTTCACACACCCCAGTGGATAGATTAGAATCTGAGTAATAACGTTAACACCATGGATTTGTATCTACTGTGGACCAGGTTTACTTCTGGATTCTAGAGCTACATATCACATTCCGGCCATTCATGTCATTCATGAAAGCCACTGAGACACATGGAAGCCTGGGTAACTGAGGACATTAGCTCATTTCAAATCTAGCTTTGGTAGTATAACCTACAAATAGTGAATCTGAAGAATCACCTTTTTTAGAGTGCATCACTAAAATAAGTGTATTTCAATATTAGCTCTCACTTGGTTTTTACGTCAATACAAAATGGACATTTTCAAATCATTGCACAAGCGAAAGCTACTGCAGCACTCCGACGTTCACCTCTGTCTTAACACAGGCTTTTATATGAACAACTCACCAGATGAGAAACATCAAAAAAACCCAAAAAACAAAAAACCCTAGATTCTTCTTTTATTGTGTTAAAAACAAAACTTTTCAGGGGTGCCTGGGTGGCCTAGTTGGTTAAGCGTCTGACTCTTGATTTTTGGCTCAGGTCATGATCTCATAGTTCATGAATCTGAGCCCCGCATTAGGATCTGTGCTGACAGCTGCGGAGCCTGCTTGGGCTTTTCTGTCTCCCTGTCTCTCTGCCCCTCCCCACTTGCTCACACCCTCTCTCTAAAATAAATAAATAAATATTAAAAAAACCAAAACATTTTAAAGTCTTCTAAGACAAAAAATTTACATTCAAAATGAATTATAAATATAATGAAAATTCAAGTAAAATGCTTTTCATCTTACCCTGTCCAGTTCCAGTGTAAACTTCTGGTCCCATGACTGATTAGAAATGGGTTTCCAGCTCGTCTGACCAACCACAGTATTATCTAGCTTCAAAACTGCACAGACATCATCTGTAATTATAATTTATAAACTTGCTTAAATATTTTAAAACTTTAAAATAGAATATCACTGTTTAATAGGAACAAAAGTCTTATGATCCTTTGAAAATAAGATTTTTCTTAATTCTGAAGCTTTTGAATCTTAAATGGCTACTTTTATATGTACACATACTTCTACCAGATGCTCCCAAACAATCCTTTGTATTTGACAAAAACACAAAGATTAAATGCTATCTATTTTGTTTGTATATCAATAGCAATCACCCAGTTTTCTCCCTCTACACTTCTATTTATAGAGTTTGTTATCTTAAACAATTTTTATTTTCATACTTCTCCTAAAATCCCTCTCTATATATAGTAAAGTACTGACATATGCACCTCTGTACTCTGTAGTAGGTTCAACTGTCACAGGACTTCCCCCCAGTTATACCTTTAGATCATAGTTTATAATTACATTTTAGAACATCTGCAAAGTGCTTCATAAACCTGTTGCATATTACTCTTACCACTTCTACCTATTCCCCTATTTGTTCGCTAAGTGAGCTACCAGCCTAGTAAACATGTTTAGTCCTGTGGTTAGTTACCAAAATTTAGAAGTGTCACTATATCATTAAAAGATCAACATGTGACAAGACTCACAGCCTCAAACACTTTCAGTCTGGCACAGAGTGATCCTTAGTATTTCATTCTTCCAAAAGAATGCTATGCATCATTTAGTTTTCTAATATAATTTCAATAAATTTGGTTGCCTTTGTTTCCTGTCAGTATAGCTTTTGACATTTTAAAGTTAAATTACAAAAATCATAACATAAAGTTTTTCATTCAACTTTGGTTTTTTCCATTGCTATCTCCATTGCTAAATTCTTTGTATAGGCACTTTAATTTGTTATATGATTTTTAAAAAAAATTGGTTACTGAACTGGACAAGTCGTCAGTTTTTAGGAGATTTCGACTACTTCCACTTTTACTTTTACTTGTTCTGCTCATGAAAGATGATCGAGTTTCACTTGGACTCCAACCAGGTAGTGCAACCGATGTTGCTTTTGATCGTCCAGGGACATTCTCTAGAATATCTTGACAGCCCATAAGACGAACTTCCAAAGTACCTATCAGCATAAACAAATATCATATAAGAACATCAGCTTTTAATATATAGAACTATGTCTTTGTTATCTATTCAGAAAGGAGGGGGAGACATCTGCTAAAATAACAAAAATCTCCTGTCTCTGAGGATCTGTGAGGTCGCTAATCATCTTTCTTGTTTTAATTAGAGAAACCTACTGAAAATTCTTAATAAAACCGTGTAAGAAATTTTATAGGAAGAACAGTACCTCCCAAAAGCTGTCTGTAGGGCATAAAACAAGTTACATAAACTTCTTGTATGTCTGAATACTCATTTATAAAACTACATGGAAGAATTACAAAATTATGTGGCTAGACCATTAGAAGGGGAAACATAAAGCCAAATATCAAAATAAACATACAGAAATTAGAAACAAATCTGACTAAGTGAAAAGCAGCTAGCTGTGTTTAGTAGTTATGTAGTCAATATAGAAAGACTCTACAGGGTTTTTTTGTCGTATAAATAATGGGTTTCCTGTTCTATTTGAGATGTAAAAGAATATTAACTTTCCATTCTAATGGTGTAGTAAGTCGAATAATTGACTATAATTATATAAGCATAAAATAATTCTGATTTCCTTAGGCAAATAAATACTGGAGGTGTTCAAATGAAAATGAGTAACTGTAAGGCTATCTAAAGATGTGGCTTTGTCATCATTTGGGCTAGACAGAGT